CGAGCTATGAAATATGTCACTGAAATACTTGATTTATCTCATTTTCGTCTTTTCTGAAAATCTGTCCGAATCCTCAACGCTCCACCGACTATGACGCAATTGTATTGTGATGGGGTTTTTACTTGGTAGCGGTACTGGAGATTTCTTGCCTGCAATCACTTAGCCATCGCTGAGTCACATCATTTAGTTGCATATGCCGGAGTGACGTCTTTCCTCGGCCGCTTTTGCTAAAATGAGACAATGGTGGTGGTGAAATTCACAGGAGGCACCTTTCGGACAACGTCCGCTGAATTTCGCACTCAGTCGACCACTAAGTTATTCAGTGCAATGCCCTGCCGTTAATCTGATTGGTGGAATAGCAATTATTGACACGTGACAACTAATGGCCTCGATCAATTCCATTTCTATTCCATTTTGCAAATTCACCTACTGCATTCCTTGAAGAGATATGGGTGTGTCCGGAGACCACACACTATGCTTGCCGCATAGTTTCTATCGTCCTGGCCTTTAAAAAATAAGTCACTTCTGATTGATACCATAGAAATGGAGATCAGCACCCCCACTATTAACTTGATGAAGGTGTAAGGAAGACCAATAATTAAAAGGTAGCAGATTTGCCTTCCTTCTGACGAAGTTTCTAGACATTTTCATTTGATAAATTTAGCCTTCATGACGAAGACTTCCAATAAACAACTAACCAATGTTATTTCGATCGATTGGCATCCGTCTTCAGCAGCTTGTCGAAGACCATTGTTTAAGAACGACGTTGGTTAGCCGAAATACTATCCGTTAATTATTAGTAAACATCATCGTCATCAATAATTATGGTATTCCTAATTCACGTTTACACCCACATGGCAAATTCTTTAAGAAATATTAATCAGATGGCAATAAAGGGAAGCTCCATCTAGTGGAGTCCATCCCAGAACATTGGGATGTGTTTTCGACATATTTATTAAATCTTCGTAAACAGTCTTCACTTACTGGTCATGATTAATGATTTCAAAACGTTTTCGACCAAGACCCTAAATATAATCTTTTATGGACCTAGTGACCAACAGTTGCAGACTATGCAGTGTCAGATAAAGAAAGAGACCGTTAGAAGTTAAGAACGATATGATTATTAAGTGACGCTTACGAAACGTACAGCAACTCTCCCTCTTCAGCAGAAATTAATGGTTTACAGCATAGATATCATAGCCGCAGATGGTACGATCAGCAGGAAACCAGCTGACCAAATGTAAGTCGCTTATAAAAGACGAGACAAACAAAATAGAGGAAAAATCGACGTCGAAATCGTTCATTTTCGACGTCGGAAACTTCCTCCGCGGGGTGAGCAGTTTCAAGAGGATTGGCATTTTGTACTCTACCACTCGAAGGAACAAACTCAATAAGTTGAGTTCCAAGACGCGAATGTAGGCTGATCCGTCAAACGAAGCTATTCTTTGTTTCAGTCATTAACCATC